GAAATTCACGTATCCGATCTTATAAAGAAAAAATGTATTCGTGTTTTAAATTTGAAATATAACAAATTCTGCATATTATCGAGTTTAAAATCATAGTGACTAACATTCACCAAAATCTTAGTAATTCGTGAACATAAATCCTCTTCGAAAGCATTACGCTTCACCAACCTATTCACAAAATTACAATCTCAGGTGAGTTGACCTATCTTCTTTTTCATTAACAAATCTATTGCTAAAACAGTATTGGAACTGATTATCTATTATAGTCTATCGTGACGCGTAAATGGTCAATATTATATTTTTTACTATCAGTTAGTGAACAGTTAAGCAGTGGTGAAGTAACTGGAAGTGTAAACAATGTAAGTACATAAAGTGAACACTAAGTTTTCTTAAATTTATACCAAGTCTTTTTATTAGCCAATAGAGCAAGCATTTGCATATCGCGGATTACAAGATATTTCTAAGTCTCTGGAATTTGAAAAAATTAAATCAACATCCGAAGAGTTAAAAAATCGGTTCGTGCCGAATGTATCACCTCTACCAAAACAGTCTTCAAATTATTCAAAAGAAAAGGAGCTACTCCCACCTAAAACAATACTAACTAAGCAATTGGCAACATTAGAAAGTAGTAAGCTACTTATTTCTAAGAGTCAGCATTTACGCTTGTTTTTACATGAAATAACTGTAAAGCTACTTAATTCTCATTTTTTAATATATCTTAGATAACGAGATTCCTGAAGCTTTATTGTTGCGTGATATTGTATTTATATTTCAAGGAATCGATGGGCAATATATTAAATATGATAAAAGTTCGTCTTATATCATCGATTCGAAGGTAAGAGCATAGCTTAATACATTTATTTCTATTTTATTAAGTTGTTTTAAGCACAATTACAAGTAAATTACAGACCGAAATTACCCGATCCCCCCGTAGCCTTTTACATCAACTCTCGGAGTTAGGATGGCTTTATCGACGTGTAAATGACTTCGTATACACAAATGTGAATGATACATCTATTGGTCTGGTTGGTCAGGTACTGGATTCAGCAGATCAGATTATAATATTCTAGTTTTTTCAATGAATATGAGGTTGGACGATTAACGAAATCCTTCAGGCCTTTTGTTCTGCTTTACAACGTGAACTGACGGAATATTATAGATTCATTGCCGTTCTTGAAGCACAAGTTGCGAAAGTAGCGGATGGTCAGCAAGTTGAATCTCATGGAACTTCATTGAAACGTTTATTTGTATGGACTCAAGAGTCCTTGCTAAAATTACGGATGATGTCCGTATTGGTGGAGTGTTGTAAGCAAGTACGAGGTGGAGCTTTGGTATCGACGATCTATAATTACACAAACCATGGAGATCCGTTTATTCAGCAGTTTATTAATAATACGCTTGAAGAGGTGATCTATTTGTAGTTTGATATTAAAACCACTTGTTATATAACCACAAGTATTAAAAAATTGTATCCCGATAGGTTTCTAGACCGTTCTTTGAAATGCTTCAGCGCTGGATTTATGGCGGTGAACTAGAGGATCCTTTCGAAGAATTTTTTGTTGCTTGTGATCCAAATGTTGAAGAAGAAGATTTGTGGCAGTCAAAATATACTATTCGACCAGATATGCAACCAACTTTCATTAGTTCTTTACTTGCCAAAAAAGTTTGTATTATTTCTATCATTAATTAAGATCAGAAAAGACTACCGCAATAATTGACACATCTTTTTGAGCAGATATTTGCCATAGGAAAATCACTCAACTTTATTAGATATAGTTGCCATGACAGTGATTGGGTAGTCACAAATGCAGGAGCTGATAAGGGCAAGCGTTGAAACGTTTAAAGAAGTTCTGAGCCTTACTCAATTATTATTTTTAACACTATTTTATTTTTCAGTGTTGAAATATGGTGATATTATAGCGTTAGAAAGTTCTATAGACGCAACTTATACTGCTACAAGTCAGCGACTTCTTAATATTTTATTCACGAAATATAAACTTAAAGAACACTTTACTGCCTTGAAGCGTTACTTATTACTCGGTCAAGGTGATTTTATACAACATTTAATGGCCCAACTTGGGTAAGTTTTTATACTTATTACCTGTATTTGCTTTTTTTTCTTTTTATTATTCAGTCTCAATTTGAATAATTAGACCAGGCCTTTCAAAACCTGCAAATACACTCTATCGTCATAATCTTACTGGTACTTTGGAAGCAGCTATCCGTGCATCAAATGCACAATATGATGACCCTGACATCCTTCGTCGATTGGACGTTAGACTCCTTGAGGTACGAACGCTTAACATAAATTCATAGAGATTGCCTTTAGGAAACTTTTTAATCACGATTTTTTTACGCAGTCGTCTTTTGGGGAAGCTGGTTGGGACGTTTTCAGTTTGGATTATCATGTTGACTCACCTATAAATACTATTTTTACGCCACATGCGATGCAGCAATATCTTCAACTATTCAATTTCTTATGGCGTTTAAAGCGAGTCGAACATGATATGTCGTCCGCTTGGCGCCGTAATATGGCTAGCGCAAGAAACTTATCCCAAATCGAAGGTTTGAATGCTATGAATTCACGTGTTTTAATATTTACAGTTTCGCTTAATAGTAATTATTGTTATTAGAATTGAAAAAAGATATAAATACAAGTAGATTAGTTTGCAGCGAAATGATACATTTTACATGCCAATTGCAGTATTATATTTTGTTTGAGGTATTAATTAATCATTAACTGCTTTCACAATAAGAATTATTATCAAAATTGATTATTATAAATATTTAGGTTATTGAATGTTCATGGGATGAACTTGTTAAAGACTGTACAAAGTCAGGAGACTTGGATTCACTTATCGAAGCTCATAATAAATATTTAACAAATGTCACTACAAAAGTCTTTTTGGGTACCTCAAATAATCAAGTAATTTGTCGATTATTTTGTTTGAGAATTTTACTTATTTATTCATCGTATTAAAAAAACATTCTCTTTTTTTGTAAGAATTATTTGTCTAGGTTATTAAACATAATTCAATTTATATTGCAGTACAAAAATGGTTTGGTAAAGTTATTTTTTTTCGATTCATCATTTTTTTTTTCTATATATTAAATCGCTTAACTATGATTATAATGAATATAGGATGAATTGCATAATTTCAGTTTGAAAGAAATTTTACGCAAGGACAATACCAACAGAGAAAATCATAGAATGATTCAAGAACATTTAACTGAAGTTGCTGGTCTTTTCAAAGTAATTTTATTTTTAATCTGTTATTTTGTATGCATAATGCTTGTTTGCTTATATATACCCTTCTATTTATAGCGCGAAGTAGTTAACTTACTAAATGATCTGGCTACACATCATGATACAGATCTGAGATTTCTTAGTGTTCGCCTTGATTTTAACGAATTTTATCGTAAATTAGAAAATGGAAACCGTTAAATTAGGATTGCAGCCTAAGCCTTCTTTTTGAATGACATTATTACATAGTTTGGGTTTGAGTAATCAGGGTTCTATTTCGTTTTAGGGTAATAACCAAAACCCAAATATATATCCCATTTACGGTTAACAGTATCAAACTTAATAACAGGTCAAATTTATTGACTTAATGTCGTAAATTAAAACTTCGTTTTCATTTTCAAATTAAGAACCTAGGTGTGAATTAATGATTATGCGGAAATAATAAATAAAGGCATCTATTTTTTATATCCCCCAAATTTATTATTCATAACTCTGCAGATTTAACTTTTTTAAACTTTGAGTGAAGATATCCTAGTAATTACCAAGCCAAATTTGATAAATTTTTTTTTGAATTTTATAGATTTATAAAATTCAAATAAAAAAAAGTTCACTGAATTTGGCCTAATAGTTATTTTTACTCAAAATTTAAAAAAAATTAAACATTTATTAAAACAAACTATATAAATTTTTTTTAGAATTTTGAGTAAAGATGTATTAACAACTATTAAGTCAAATTTGATGAATTTTTTTTGTTTTGAATTCTATAAATCTAGAATTTAAATAAAAAAATTATTAAATTTGATTTAATAGTTACTAAGTTATTTTTGTTTAAAGTTTCAAAAAATTTAAAATATTTATCAAAATAAAAGTTGTATTATAATTTTTTTTAAACTTTAAGTGAAAATATTTTTTTGTTTAAATTTTATAAATTTATAGAATTTAAATAAAAAAAGTTTATTAAATTTGATTTGATGGTTGTTAAGATATTTTTACTTAAAGTTTAAAAAAACTGATATAATTTCTGTTTAATAGATATTTTAAATTTTTTTGAAACTTTAAGCAAAGATAACTTAGTAACTATTAAGTCAAATTTAATAATTTTTTTTTTATTTGAATTCTATAAATTTATAGAATTCAAACAAAAAAGTTCATCAAATTTGGTTTAGTAGTTATTGAAATATTTTTATTCAATTAAAATTTAAAAAAAAAATTTATATAGTTTGTTTTAATAGATGTTTTGATTTTTTTAAATTTTGAGTAAAAATAACTACTAGGTTAATTTAATATATTGTTTTTATTTAAATTCTATAAATTTATAAAATTTAAAGAAAAAAAGTTTATCAAATTTGGTAAAATATTTTCATTCAAAGTTTAAAAAAAAATTAAAATTACAGAGAATAAATAATAAATTTGAGGATATAAAAAATAGAAGTTTAAATAAATAAATATATTAAATAAAAAATAATTTTAAAATTTAGATTATAATAATAAATTTTTCAACTAAGTTTTTTAAAATTTAAAAAGTAATAGCAGTTTTTAGAAAAATAAAAATTTTTTAATAAGGTTATATAAAAAAAATTTTGGTTTTTATATTCTGGCCAGATTAGAGAAAGCAAAATTTAAATTTTTTTTATAGCGCAATAAATAAATAACCAATAGAAATACATGATCATAATATATCAGTATGATCATATGATTATATAATATAAAATACAAGAGGAATAGTTTTGTTTAACTTTTTTGATATCGTTTATACTGATTTTTGTAAAATCTATTTTTAGTAAAAATATATAAATTATACATTTAACAGTAATTAGCTACTTAAGATTAATACTGATTCTTGTTAAAATTATATGATTTAATAAAATTATTATAATTATAAAATAGGCATTTTTCTACTATTATAAAATTTTTACCTTATCTTGAGAAGCTTGTCAACAAAGTAACAAAGTATCAATATTGTGAAATCAGATAACTTTGCAGATCACATATTTAATTGATTATTTTAGCCTTTAATGATCTGTTGGTAATAGCTATATTAAAGTAAATTTTTTTTTAACTTTGGGAATATATGAAATCTTAAAAAATCTTGAAAAAATTTTAATAATAAATTTTTAAACTAAAACTTTAAAGTTTTATTACTCAAAAGTTTACTAATAATGTTAA